TTTTCTACAAATAATATGAACATAAAATTTGGTATGTGTCATCATCTCAATAAGGTACACCTAAAAAAAATATTAAAAAATATTTTAAAAAAAATAAAATAATTAAAATACCCTTAAAACTTTCGGGGGTATTTTGATCATTTTATTTTATCAAGAATATTTGTTTTATATTTTTTTACAGGTGCAAGTTTGAGAGATGATTGGATGCCCCAAATTTGGTGCCAAAATATTTTATATAAAAAAGATTAAAAATAAAATAATGCATAAACATGATATTGTGAATGGGCCACCTTAACCATCCATTCAAATAAATTAGAAAGTTTTCCCTTTTATTAAACTTGATCATATCGGATGGTTGGTTGAAGGAGGAAGTATATAAAATATGAGAAATGATCTTATATGACCCTCCTCCACACAAGTGTGCAAGAACCCAAAAGATCACCATTAAATTTGACACGGATTTTTAAGAAAATCAAGTCTCACACCATATTATAACTTTTTTTAGAGATCTGTATCAACTTTAATGATGATCTTTTGGAGTCCAACATACATGGGTGAAGGAGAGTCCTATATGATCATTACTCATAAAATATATATGACGGAGAAGTATAAAAAGATTTTCTTTTTATTAAACTTGGTCAGAACATGCTTAAAGTTTCAACTACCGTGACTTGCGATTATGAATATTTAGATGGTTTTTGAAACAAAATAAAGGAAAATGATGAGATGCCAACTAGTTCATTTCTTGAGTGGTTTTGATACAAACTTCTCTTAAAACAAAACAACACACGGCACGAAAGGGTGTTTTTAAACGCAACTAAACTTGAAATATGAGCACCCCATTTCCTATTTTCCAAATACCACCGTTATGAAGAGACTCTATTATGTATTGGGTGTGGTTTGTATTAAGTCTGACGCCCTAAACAATCAAAGTAAGGCGCATTTTCAAATAATATCGAAAGATAATGTTTCAGTATTGAAAATCTTTGTTATGTTTTGAAAATTTATTTTTATCTCTAATTATAAAATTTAAAGCTTCAAGAATAATGTATATCAAGCTGATCCATGAACATTTGAAAATCTTGAAAATTTGATGGTTCAGAAACTGCATTACAAAAATTGAAGTCGAGATTACCGATTTGAGGTGCACCTTAATTTGATTGTTTCGGGCCTCGCCATTATATAAACTTATTCCTTATGTATATGGATAGACATAAAGGATGCATATGTTAAGCACCACTCTTATGTAAAAAAAAAATACATGTGGTATATCCAGTTAATATAGAAGGTGTACATTGTAATCAGTAAATATGAGAAGGGTTAGGATATTGTGCCCTGTATTTTATGGTAAGTCTGTATATTGTTTAAGTGTCTATGATTTAGTTTCTATTAGTGTCATCTGTAAGCCAAATTTGTATATTCATATCAATTAATAGACATTGAGTCTATTTAGATAAACCTGAGACAGTTCCTAATACTATTGCTTGCTCACTCACTAAGAAAAGCCATGTTTCACATGTGTCATTTCGAATAGAATTTTATGTGTAAGCAAATTCCCCATTTCCTTAATTCACAAATAAATATATTTCGCAATTTTAGGGCAGCCTTGGATGGACTAAATAACTTGATTACTTTAAAATCAAGAGCCAATGTGAAATAAAGTTTTTCTATGTGACTAGGCCTGGCAACAGCAGAGCCAGGCCTGACCAAGCCTCGGCTTTGATCCTCATAGGGCTGGCCACGTGTGACTCTTGTAGCCGAACTTTAGCAAATTTTTATTTTATTTTTCCCAAAGTGAGAAAAAGACTAACATCTTGTCTAAGTGTTCCACAAGGAGTATAGTGAAAATAAAATTGATGAGGTTTCTATAAGGGCTAGGCTTTATAGAAACAAAAAAAACATCACCTCAAATTTTTTTTCAAAAAGCACTTTCGGCAACAAAAATCTTCATGATGGCTCTAAAATCAATTTTCAAAACCGATAATGAAATTCAAAATGCAAAAAATATTAAAGATCTTGCACATCTATTTTTAAGGTGACATGTACAATCTAGATAATTTGTTACAATAACTATATTTTTAGAGCTTGAAATCCCTTTTTTTTTCACAACCATAATATGCAAATAAAGATGATCGAAAGAAAGACTTTATTATACTCTGAAGTATAATTTCCGAACAGCTATAAAATGAGGCTTTACTTATTTTAATAGGACACTGCAACTCTATTAAACCAATTTTCAAATAAAGTCAATGATCCACCCGGACTGGGCTTTAGATAAACATGCACGTGTGATTGCGTACAAATACAAGCAAAATATATTAGGTGAATAATACATATGAGTTCCAAACTCAACCTAATTTCTCATCTCTAAAAGCAAATACAAGGAATCAGACACATACATCATGGAGGGACAAAAGAGGTCCTAGAAGAATCCGGATTAGAGAAAGAGAGAGAGAGAGAGAGAGAGAGGCCAATTCCAAATATCTGGCGTTGTCATGTAGATAAAGGGCGATAAACATAACGCCAAATGATGGAAATGACAGGCCATCGCATTTTAGTCACAGTGGACGAACCGGAACTATAATAAGATTACACCATAGTCGCTGTAGAGATGCCAAAAGATTTTATGCTCCCATAAGAGTAAACTGTGTTAATTGATTAGCGCTTGACAGTTTACAATGCTACGTCCTAGGCTCAATTCTTACCAAGGGTAAGGGCCCTCTCTCCACTTACTCACCAAAAAAAAATATGTCCATTACTCCCTCAAATAAAACCCAATTTTGGAATAATTTTAGGATCTTAAATTTAAATGTATAAACGCTCCAATTGAAAAATCTATGCACTTTGAAAACAATAATCTCTCAAGATTGAGCAAATGACGAGATTTGAGACTAGAAAACTTTTTCTTTTGAAATGAATCAAGTGTGCTTTTAGGTGGTTCATATGGAAAAATCTTTTCAAGTAGGTCTTTTGACTGAGGGAAATGTACATGTTCTTGTTGGAGCATGTTGTACGTGCTCTATAAACAAAAAACCAGTTTTATACTTTACCAAAAGAGGCAAGTGACATTTGAAATTTTTCTCTTTTAGATAGACCAGTGGGGAAAAGGATCCCTACCACCCACCACCCTAACCACTTGTGCTTTGACTCCATCCCTACGTGCCATGTGGATTTCAAATAATGCACCAATTATTAGCAAATATGCATAATTGTTCAAAATAAAATGATTAAAATTTGGTAATAAGGAATTAGGATTTCAAAAAAATATAAAACTTCTAAATACATAATAGAGGAAAGTTCCCCCTGGCATCTAACATGGTTCTTATTTTTTATTTACTCTTAAGTTTAGATAAAAATGGTGAGAGAAATGCTCAAAAAGGCATGGATGGAAGTAGTGAGAAAAAAAAATAGTGATTTTAGTCTTACAGAAAGTATGGCCCGTGATAGAAAAGAATGGAAGAACATGATTCATATAGCAGACCCTAAAATAAAGTATGATCTAAAATATGGAGTTTTTCTATCTACATTTTTTATTTATATGCTGAAATAAATCATGCTCAAATATTTAATACAAGTAATTAAGTTAAAATTAAAAAGATAAATCTTAGACTCCCACATTAAAAGAATGTCCACACAAGTAGTCTAGGGTGCCATGCCCAGGTCTCTCTCTTTAATCCCTGTTGTGTCAAAAGTAACCCAGCTTCTAGTGGGGCTTATTATATTACTGTTACATGTATACCCCTTCCAGCTTTGCTTTTGACGGTGTATGCCCTTGAAATCTCTACCGTCCAATAAAGTTCGATGGTAAAGTGTTGAACGGTGGAGTTGACCCTGTAATCTCCACCGTCCATAAAATTAGACCGGTAGGTCTCTGCAATCTCTCGCTAACCCATACATAAAAATTGTGTTCAATGTATGCAATGAGACTACCTTCTTTTTAATATGGAAGTAACAATCGTTTAAGGTTGCTACATTTGAAATCAGGAGGCTGAGAGTGTATGCTATTTGATTGTTGGATTTGAAATCGAAAGGTTGAGAGTATACGCTATTGACCACGCACAAATTCAAGCAAAAAAATTTCGAATTTTTTTATAAGCTAATGGTTTAATAGGGATGTAATCCTATCAAAATAAGTAAAGTATCTCCTCATAATTAATCCAAATTACAATTCAAGCATTAAAAATTTTTTACATCGATCATATGAGCTTGAACATTATGGTTATGAAAATAAAAAGATTTCAAACTTTAGAAATAGTGTATATTGTAACAAATAATCTGAACTATTTATTGCACCTTAAAAATAAGTGTTTATAGATCCGCACAATCTGTACAATTTTTTTAATTACGAATTTCATTAACGGTGTTGGAAATTGATTTAAAGCCATCATAGAAATTTTCATTTTCAAAAGCACCAAAGGATTTCAGGTGAGATTTTATTTTGTGTTTCTTACCGCTCAAGCCTTACAGAAATCCGTTGCCAAAAGTACACGAAGATTTGAGGTAAGCCTTTATTTTGTTTTTCATAAAGCCTAAGCTTTATAGAAACCTCATCAAAAAATAAAATACCTCCAATTATACAAACCCAATAGCAAATGCAATATAGAGTTCCCATCATCATGGTTTTTTTTCCAATTCATTGAGGTCCGCTACCCTCGTTTGTAATTTTGCTCCATTTGAAACCCCGTTTTCCGTGGGGCTATAAGTTGCCGTATATTTTATAATTTTTTAATATTTCAGAGGGTAATTTGGGAACAGAGGGAAAAAACCGAGAGGCAGGAAAGCCGTGAACCTAAGAGACTTCATTTTCATTGGATTCCAATGATGGAAACGCATCTGCCCCTTCCCACCCAACGAATTATTTAATTTCATTTTTTTATTATTTTTATTTCACGTTTTAATGTAATCCCTTTTTATATTAACGAAGTCTTTGTTTATTAATTTTGGGGGAAAAGTTTAAATAATTCCAGACCAACGGTTTCCATCTATAAAAAGGGCTCGCTTGCCATCAAGCTTCTTCCGTTTGGCCTTCAAATACACATCGTTCCTTTACATTCAGCCCTTCTTCTGCATTTTTTATCTGATCTACCCCTCTCTCTCTCTCTCTCTTTTACCCTGTTTCCACCACTCTCTCTCTAGAGATCTCTCCAAGGTATGTCTGCAAGTTGCAGGTTCTTGTGTTAAATGGCGAAGCCATTTTATACCTACGTTTCTTTTTCGGTTTTTCTTCATTTTGAGAAATTCGGGTTCTTCCACATATGCTCTTTCCCCTCTCTTTCTCCATTTTCCATCAAATCTGGTGCTTAAAGTTGCAGAGCTTGTTGCCCTAATGCTATATTCATTTAATGTATTGTACGATTTTTATACACCTCATCTGGATACCTCAATCCTGCTTGCTTGAATGTTTCGGGTTTTTGCGGGAACGTTGAATCCTTTTTCAATGTCGAAGCAGTTTCTTTGATTACTATTCTTTGTTGAGGTGTTTCTTTTCAGGAAATGGCGTCTATTATTTCATATTCTGATATTTTCTACCTATTCTCTCTTCTTTTTTCACCTTCTTTCTTTCTTTTTTTTGATTTTTCCTATAAAACTTTCAAAACTACTTTATCATGGGGAAAATGGCGTTATTTTTGTTGACCCAATTAAAAGAAATATTTCATATTTTTTTGCTAAAAGGCTTCTTTTTTAGTTCTTAGAAAGCTCTGTGGAAAGTCGCTTTATTTTTTTTGTTTGATTTCAAGACAACTGTTTCTGTTGTTTCTGCTAAAAGGTGGGTTATATTCACGTTGTGTTTTTCTTTTTTGAGTTTTCTTTGATGGAAAAGTGCAAAAAGGCTCTGTTTCTTTATTGTGGGTAATAACTTTTTTGGGCTTACTTTAATGAAAAAGAAGAAAAATAAAAAAATAGAAAATACAAATAATCGCAGGCACAGTTAATTTTGGAACTATTTTATTTAGGCATTTTTTGTGGCATTTTTTTTTTCAGATTGAAATGGAATTTGAAGATCGTTACAGACAAGGGCAGGGGCCCAAATTCGATTGCCTCCTTTTCGGTGAGCCCCTTTTTTTTATTTTATGTTTATTTTTATGTAAATTCTGGATTTTCATGGAATTATTTTTATTCTCCGTTGATTACAAATTTTATTTTGTTTTATTTTTTTAGATCTGGACGACACTCTCTATCCTATGAGCTCTGGTTTGGCAAAGGAAGTCCTCAAGAACATTGGAGGTAGGCCACCATATTTAATTTTCAAATTTTATTTCTTCTTTTTCTTATTTTTGCATGAACTTTGCTATTTTCTAGATTTTATGGTCTCCATTATTCCTGATTTAGGAGCCAGTTGTGATTTTGTTTTTCTTATTTAGGGCATATCTTTTTTTTTTTTTTTTTTAAGATTATGTGGACCCTGTTTCTTATAATTCCATTGTCCAATTTTAAATTTCATTAATTTATTTTTTGGATTATTTTTGTATTTTGTCAGATTATATGGTGAAGAAGCTTGGAATTGAGAAGGAGAAAGTCCCTGCCTTGTGTGATCTACTTTACAAGAATTATGGAACCACCATGGCTGGCCTAAGGGTGAAATTTCTTTTTCTTTTATAATTTCTCCCTACTGCAAAATAAAATTAACTTTTCTTGAGGTTTTGAATATATTGTGCCTTTTATATTAAAATTCGTTATTTTTTATCATTATTTTTTAAATGGTTGGGATAAGACTCTAATGATGAAGATGGCTTCCTATTATTATTATGCAGGCTATCGAGTACGAATTCGAATACGACGACTATCACGGGTTTGTATTTTGACAATTTTTAGCAATTTTATTTTTTTATTTAAAATTTTAAGATGACACTATTTAATTGGATTTTTATTTACTTCTTTGTTTTTTGCTTCATCTTATTTGTTCAATTTTGCAGTTTTGTACATGGAAGGTTACCATATCACAATCTCAAGACTGATCCCATCCTCAGAAACCTCTTGTTCAACATGCCCCAGAGAAAACTTGTGAGTAATTTTTCTTTGTTATTATATTTAATTTTAAATATAATGACACCTTATTTCTTACTTCGCTAGAAAAATAAATTTTACAAATGAAATTAAGATGGTTGGACCCCTCTTCTCTGCACCGCCACCGCGTGTCCTAATTTAATAGCGCAAGGCTGGTTGTGTTTCTCAATCGATGAAAAAAGGACAAATTTGACGATGGTCTCTACCCTAAACGGTAAAAAGAAAAAGCGAAATGCTTTGATAGTGTTGCAGTCCTATCAAAATAATAAAGTCTCTCACCTTAAAACTCATCGAAGCTTGTCAGCATTAAAAAAAACTTTCAAATCGATCATCTGGTCTCGACTATTATGATTGTCAAAGAAAAACAAAAAAAAAAAAATTTCAAACTTTAAAAACAATGTATATTATAACATATTATCTAAACGGCCCCATTTTGCTCTAAAAATGAGTGTTCACATCATGATGTGTATCACTTTTTGAGCTTGAAATCATAGTGCTGAAAATTGATTTTACTTTCCAATGAGGCTTTTACTTTGTTTTCATAAACCTAAACCTTATTATAGAACCTCCATTTTACTTTGTTTTCATAAAGCCTATTAAACCTTAGAGAATTTCCATTCAAAAGAAAATTACAATGGGCCTTAAGAATGTTGCATAGATTATAAAACAAACACCTCTCTCTAAGGGCTGATCATTACTTGGTGCAACAGATATTCACAAACGCAGATAAGAACCATGCTGTAAAAGCACTAAACATGCTTGGGGTTGAGGATTGTTTCGAAGGGATTATATGTTTTGAGACCTTGAATCCCTCTAAGAACTATGAAGACGAAGATGAAGACGATAGAGAGATTAATCATTCGAGGAATGAGCCCTTTGACATTCTTCAATTCTCATCTCAGCCATCTTCTCTCTCTCAGTTGCCTAAAACACCTATCCTTTGCAAGCCCTCTATAGATGCCTTTGATGAAGCTCTAAGGATTGCCAATATTGATCCCCAAAGAACGGTGATCCTCTTTTCTTATTACATGATTTTATTCTATTTTGATTTTGATTTTGATTTTGTAGAAACTTGGGTGTTAGTTTGTAAATTTTGGCACGAATTTAAGGTCGAATTTTTTGGGTTTGTTTTTGTAGATTTTCTTTGATGACAGCCCTAGGAACATTCTATCCGCAAAGAGAGCAGGACTCCACACCGTGCTGGTAAGCTTTTTAATCCATGTTTCATGTCTCTCATCAATATTTCATTGTCAGGATGGTATATTATATTATGAGACTATTTTATCTTTGTTATAAAGTGGTCACAATCGCTATAAGGTCAAATTTGATGGTTTGAGGTGTGAGAACATTTTCCATGGTTTTGTGAAGTTTGAATCTAATGACACGGACTACCGATTTTTGTGACTATTCTACACAGGTGGGAAACTCAGTGAGAAGCAGAGGTGCCGACCACGCTTTAAAGAGCATTCACAACATTAGAGAGGCTCTGCCTGAGCTCTGGGAAAGCGAGAAGATGGATGAAACTGTTAAATATCCCAGTGGCAAAGTTGCCATTGAGACCCCTGTAACTGCTTAGAAAGAGAGAGCCATATATTGTGAGGAGAGAGCATGTCCATTTTTATTTTTCTTTTTCTTTCTTTCCCTTTGTTGTAGATGGTTTGATCCTTGATAAATAAATAGGCTATTTATCTTCTTTCTCCCTTGTTTATAGATTAGATTGTCCATTAATCAATAAGTAAAAGAAATATTTGTCCTTGAGCATCAGTTAGTTTATTTCCTGGAATGAATTAGAGTGGTGCCCACAGCCTCAATCACCTAAAATATGCCTCCTAATTTTTCCATGCTTTTCTCAGGCTTTTAAAGCAATGATTACAATTTTGGATTGGCGCAATGGGTAAAGTGTGGTAACCGTGCTGTGACAAAGAACTTGGACATTAATTTTTAATCTGAATCAACGATTTTTAATCTATATCGCCTGATTTTCTCCGTTTCAGTTATTTCTTTATCATGAAAAAAATGTTTTGGGGGTTTGGAGCGATCAAATGGTAAAAAATGGCAAATAGCCGAGACAGAAGTCGGGGATTTATTTTTCCCAAAGCCTTTAAAATCAATCCTTATTCACAGAGCTAAAAAACAAAAAAAATTAAAAAATTAGTGCACTAACAATACTCCAAATAAATTTCTCCTTCATAAAGAAAAGGGGAAATGACTTCGACCCCCTCTCCGAAATTTTCATCCCTATTAGCGCCTATTGGGATCACCAAATTCCCTTGTATCTCCTCTTTGGGACTATTAACCCTCGAATTATGTATGTATTTCTACGATCTTTTTATAAATTTAATCATGAAATTCCAAACCCATACATTAGCTTTTTTTTTTTTTTTTTGTAACTTGATATAAATTTTTTATTGATGACAATGATAATAATAATAACAATGATAATTAATAATAGTTATAAAAATAACAAGAATAACATAATAATTGTTAAATAATTCATCTCTTATAGGTATTTTGAGAAATTTCTTTAATTAAATGAATAAATAAATAATAATAATTCATTAACACTAGTACTAAAGATCTTGATTAATCATTTTCCAAGTTCAAAAGATATTGATGCAATTGTAAAATAGGTCATAATATTAAAAGAAATCATTTTTTCTCATGTCTAAATTTATAGTGGGGTCTCCATATGTAAGATTGGCTTTAGGCAGCAGAAGAGAAAAGAAAAGAAGTTGACTAATGGAAGGATTTGGCATTTTGTAAAATGAAAATATCAAATTTGTAAAAAATTAATAAAACAAAAACATAATTAAGAGGCTAATGGTCTCAAAATTTTAAACGTGACGGGATATAGGGGATTTGTTGAATCCAATAATGGGCAAATAAGGATGGAAATTTTGAGGGAAGGAGAGGTCATTTTTCCTAAATAAAACCTCGGTGTGATATTTTGGTTCAATAGTACTACCTCTCAGCCTTTAATTATTGAAAAAAGTTGATATGAAGTTGTAATCTTTTTTGTAGAAATAAAATTGTAGTAATCTACATCATATAATTTACTTAGGGGAAGAGTTGAGGCTCAAAACAATCAAATTAGAGCCTATATTTTTCACTAAAAGATGTTGTTTTAATGCCCAAATATCCTCAAATTGATCATCTCGACAGTAAGAAGCATGGACATGAGAAAGAAAATGGATTTCAACTTTTGGAAATAGTGTATTTTGTAACGTATTTTTTTACCATCAAATTTCAAGATTTTTATAGATCTGTCGATCTACACTATTTTTGAAGCTTTGAACTTTATAAATAAAGATGAAAATATATTTTAAGGCTATCACAAAGATTTGATGTATTGAAACCAGTGTTTAAAAAAACGCCTAGTCGAACCGGACTCGCCCATTCGACTCGGGAATCGCCATGGACGGACCGAATCGGCGAAAAAAACGGGAATCATCCGGTTCTAGAGAGAACTGGACGATTCTGTACAGCGACTCGCCGATTCACTGTACGGAATCGGGGAGTCCATAGAGTGAATCGGCGAGTCCCGTACGGTAATTTTTTTTTTTTTTTTTTTTTTTTGTAATCCATGATAGATTTTTTTGTAATGCTTGATCGATTTTTTTGTAATCCATGATCGAATTTTTTGTTTTTGTTTGTTTTTTTGTAACCCATGATAGAATTTTTTGTAATCCATGATCGAATTTTTTGTAATCCATGATCGAAATGTTTGTTTTTTTTCTTGTAATCCATGATCGTAATTTTTTGTTTTTTTTTGTAACCGATGATTAGAATTTTT